GAAGAGGCCCAAGAGAATATCTTTTGGAAGTGCTTAAAGAAAATAAGGAAGTCATTGGGTGGAGTGTGGCCGACCTAATGGGAATTGACCCTTCCATATATATGCATCGTATTCTTATGGAGGATAAGCTCAAGTATTCTAAGACCTTTATCTATTTTACTTTCTCGTTTTAGACTAATTTCATGTTATTGCCCTTTTCAGATGCTTATTCCCAAAATAAGTCAATTTAGCCAAATTAGAGCATAAAAGAAGCAGTCTCAAGCTGAATGGAAGAATGGAGCAAAGTGGTAGACATCAACAATCTTTGATCGATCAGGAATATTTTCGATCGATCTCACATTAATCGATCTCACCTCACCAAGATGGATTGACCCCTTGTCCTTATCCTCAAAGAAATTCCATCTTCAATTGATCTAACTTTCTTCAGATCGATCGAAATTTTTTGATCTTATCCCTACCTACCACTTTTGTCTTTTTCCCAAAATATCCTAAAAATATCTCAGATTTGTCTTATTCCAAAAAGGATCTGGCCACAGTTCGATCGATCTGGCCTTAATTCGATGGATCTGGCCACAGTTCGATGGATCTCATCTGAATTCAATCGATCGAACCTCCTCAAGTCCGAAATAAAATAGAGTCCAACTCATTAAAAGATGGCTCGTTGTGCAATCATTGAAGGGACCCTAGTGCAGGAGACCTGACCATTGGATGTGACACTTGAGCTACCTATATAAGGATTTTGAGCCATTTTTACATCATATATCTTCATATCTCATATATCACATATCTTGGAGAAGAGGCTAGAGCTTAGAGAGACATACATTACTTTGGGAGTTCTTCCATTCTTCTAGGGTTTCCATAAAGAATAAGAGCATTTCTACCATGGAGATGGCCCTTGAGGGTTGGATGATTACATCAATAAGTGGCTAAACATCTTCTTGGGGCTAAAGTTAGCCCTAAGTATGCCATCTAGACCTTGATGTTTTGTATTTTGAGGGGATTTGTGTTGTAATCTTGTCTTGACATTTGATTTATATATGAATCTTATTCTTACATTGATTTATGTTGATTAACACTTCCAATTGATCATTTCATTCTATCCATATGTCTATGTATACTAAAGTAGATGTTCATGTGTTTATCTCTTGGTTTTGTGATATTGATGCATGTCTATGTGTATTGATGCTATGAATCTAGAGATTGTTAAGGCATAATGCTTAACTAGAATACTCTTGTGGTTTGTTTGATGGTTCATACTCATTTCTTGATGGATTGTGCCTCTACCTTAGTTTAATTAGTTTAATTTTCATGTCCTTAGCTTAGAAGTAATGTAGTTGTTTTACTTTCTTAGATGTGAGGACAATCCATACTTGTTGTTTGATGTTCCATACTTATGAATGCAAGTAGTATAATGCTCTAACTTGTTAGTGTGTTGATTGTGAGCTTAAAGGAAGGAATAATGGCTTAGTTTGATATATTGTGCTATTCACTAGGTTGTATAGACATTATATGCTTAATTAGTCAATCCATGCTTATTGATTCAATTAATCACACCTTTTTGTATTGCAACACATGTTTCCCCTCATTCATTACACATTAAGTGTCTAGAATGGTAATGTTTAGTGGTGACCTCTAGATCCCAAGACCTTTCTCTCTTGTTCTCTACCATTTTATTTACTTTAGTTGTTTAATATTGAATTTATTTATATTGTAGTCTAATTAACCAATCAAAACACCTTTTGATCACTCGACCTACTAATCCGACCTTGTTTCCATATTAACATAGCCCCCAATACCTTGGGACAATCCCTACTCACCCTAACTATATTAGTAGTTAGAGTTAGTAGTGGAACTTTATAAATTTCAACTTGGCCACACTTTTATTGCAACTTGTTGGTGTTAACACGACCTTAGGAAGAAGCACACCAAGTTTTGGCGCCGTTTTCGGGGATTGATTTGTGTAATACCCCTAATTTTAAAGGACAGTTCTGGATTTGTTTTAATTATTTATGTGCATTTTTAATATATTTATTTGCTTGTTTTAATTAATTAATTAATTATTTGCTTATTTGATTTACTTTACTTTAATTCAATTAAATTGTGTTTTATTTAATTAATTGCTTAATTTGTATTTTTGGTTTGTTACATTAATTTAAATGTATTTCTCAAAGTATAATTAATTACGTGCTTAGGTTTTCATTGTTTTGGTAATTAGGGTTTTATGTTTTTTACATCGTGTCTAGGATTGGAGTCAACATATAGTTGGTTTAGGATTTAATCTAGGGTTTCACGTAAAACCTATAAATATAAGCATACGTCTGCCAAGGGTTTGTTAATTCACGTAACAGAGTTATACAGAGGGCAGAGAAACAGAGAGGGAGCTTAAGTAATTTACAGAGAGAACCTTAGGAGATTACGGGAGGGATTCAAGGAGGAGTTCTGGATTTAACTAGGAGCGGTAGAGGTTGATAACAACAAGTCGACGTTGCCGGAGTATATAGAGACGACAGTTAGAGTTTTTAATTCAAACTCTCAAAGACAAGTCTCTTTTCTTCTCTCTCCCGTTAATTCGTGTTCTGTGCAGGCCTAGTTAAGACTCCAGGGATTAATCAAAGATTAAAAATAGATGAAACAAATGTTATGATTCATCTAATATGCATGTTTAAATCAGATTTTGGTTCCATTGAATTAATCTGTTTTAGTGTTGCTTAAAAGTTTTAACTGAAATCTTGTTGTGGATTGCTTTAAATCTGATTATGCTTGAGGATTAGTCTGCGACATTAAACAAACCCTTGAATTAGTAATTAACACAGTATTTAATTTCACAAAATTAATATGTTGTGGGTTGCTTAAAGTTTCAGACTAAGGTTCTGTGATCGTTGCTTCTAAACGTATGTTCCATGCATTCTATCATTGAATATCAGTGGTTCAATATATACCTAGGATTGAGATTGAACCTAGAATAAGAATTAAAACATAGTACAGAGGCTCTGTTAATCACTGGAGTGCTAAGGGAGGGAGAGCAGGCTCCCAAAATGCTTAGAGTCGGCTCCCAAAGAGTTGGAGCCGGCTCTAAGTGATTTAGAGCAGGCTCTAACTGTTTTAGAGCAGGCTCCAAGTGGTTTTGAGCAGGCTCAAAGTTTTTAAAGAGCCTGCTCCATCTTAAAACGCACAGAACTGAGTTTTAGGGACTTTTTGGCTGAAATTGGATTTTCTTAAATTATTTAAAGGCTACTAGATGTTGTAATTTAATGCTTAAGACTTATAAAAATGTTGGGAAGCATGATTACAAGTAGGAATTGAGAACGGAATTAATCTAAGATTAAACAGTGAACCCGTGGGTGGATGATTTGAAAATTAATTTCTATTGTCTACTATTTTTGGAATTTTATTTCTCTGCGAAATCTTAAATTGTGAGACATGTTTTCAGCTGTGATATAAGCATATAGTAGTTAAATATGTGTATGCTTAGTTGGAATTAACTGATGTTTAAAATCTGTCATACAATGCATCAGTTATGGTACTATATGGAGAAGTAAATTGTATAATTTTAATTTATCAATTTAAAGGACTGGAATTGGGATTCTAAAATTTTTATTGGATGCATAATTTAGTTATACACATGTTAAACTGTATTTATACAAATTTTGGAGTATGGTTGATTAGTATCAAATACTGTTTTCATCAACTATGTTAACTGAATGAGCTAAATGTACAGTATTTTCATTTATATAAAGAACTATAATGAGATGTCTAAATGTTATATTGGATGCATAAATTGGTTGTATACATTCTAAACTATATTTATGCTTATTCTGGGATGTGGTTAATAAATAATTATATTGTGTTATTAACTACGTAAACTGGAGGATGGTATGCACCGGTATGGGACGGTGTCATACTAGGTACGGATTAGTTCAGACACTAAGCCCTACCTAAATTTGGATTAAGGTATGGATTAATCATAAAGGTTAAGTCCATCACCTACTTGTGTTATATCAATTGAGAATTGAATGACCTACTATGGTTTCAGGATGGATTTGTTATACATATATCAGACCACTACACAGATGGGTGGTATTTTGTATTAGGAGGAGTACGGACTTTATATATATATTATATGGTGCCGTGGTATGAGCTTGAGTCTCATGACCATGGTTAGGGCGCGTATATTGCCTAGGATGGATAACTGGACATAGGTGTTGTTCCCTGGTAGGTCTAGGTACTCATGCCCGCCTTAGGGTGCGTATTTGCATGTTGCCTTCTATTCAGGCTGAGACAGACCTACTAGACTAGCGAGTGTCCTATAATGTGTACTATATACATATATGGACTACTCTAGCTATTATTGAGTCTTCCTAGGATGTATCTACATATCGGATTACTGTTGGATTGTAGTAGATCAGGACTTGCATGTGGGCCTGACCCACTCCTTTATTTTTCAGGTGTCGTCAGTTCCAGGGTTAGAGCTTGGACGTGCAGAGCAGATACAGATATTCATTCCTCCGATTATGTAGGAATCTTCTCTATGATAGTTTTGGATTTTATTTCTATTATTTCAATTTTAGTTTGAGAATTTTAATAAGGGGTCCAATGGATGGATTCCCGAGTTGTAAACTTATGGAGTTTTGGATTGTCGGATTTGATTAATTATGATTCAAGGATTTCCTTTTAGTTTCTTTCAGCTTATTAAACTTTATTTCTTAAATTCATTTTGTCATCTATGTTCGCATTACATATTAATTGTTCGATATCCCTCGGGTTTGGGCCTGGGCCTGATCAACCCGTGTCTCGGATCCGAGGGGTATCACAGTTGGTATCAAAGCACTCCATGTTCAAGTGTCTCTTGGATTCTATCGTATAAGACTTTCGCGTAGCTTTTTCTCTTGATTAGAACTTAAGTATTAAGATTCATTGTATTCTTTACGGTTCGGTTTAGTCGTGCTGATGTCTGTCTTTCTATGTTGACAGAATGGCTAATGCAAGAACTAAACGAAACAATGGGCAACGAAGGGAAGCGGCCCGTAGGCAGCATCAGGAGGATGAAGGTCAGTTCTATGAGGAGCAGGAGGAAGTTCAGTAGACTCGGGATCAGGGAGGAGATCCAGAGTTTCCTCTTCACCTCAATGACCTTATTGCTCGAGCTATAGAAGCAGGGGTAACGGCTGCACTTCAAAATCAGCCTCAGGTACAGCCGGCACCATTACCGGCATCGATACCAGTTCAGACTGATACTTAGGAGAAGGCTAGGAGTTCTTTCACAAAGGGGAGCCCACCTGAGTTCATAGGCTCCACCGATCTGAGAGCAGCTCACCAATGGAAACAGGACATCGAGCGACATCTTCGCTTGGTTCAGTGCACAGAGGTTCAGAAGCAGATGCTTGCTACCTTTAAGCTAGTTGGCGATGCACTACAATGGTGGGAGTCAGTTACCACCATAGAAGAGAGGATGGCTTTGACTTATGATGAGTTCAGTGCACACTTTGAAGAAAAGTATGTTCCTTATGTAGTCAGGGCAGCTATAAAGACTGAGTTTCTCAATCTGCAACAGGGAAGCATAACAGTGGCAGAGTATGAGCAGTGGTTCACACGCTTGTCTCTCTTTACACCGGAGGAAATGGATACAAAGAAAAAGAAGCGCAACAGTTTCATCAAGGGACTGATGTGGTCTATCAAGAGAGCTATTACAGGTAGTCTAACCTATACTACCTATGCTCAGGTGGTAGACGCTGCTCTATAGCAGTACCAGTTGACCGTGGATATCAGACAGGCCAAGGGTGAGAAGCGGGGTGACAGAGACTCTGCTAGTCAGTCAGCTGAGAAAAGGAATGGGAACGGTCACCGACAGAATGACAAAGGCAAGTTCCAGGGACAATAGCCTTGGAAGAAGCACAAGGGTGGATCAGATGCGCCCAGGGATGTGGCACCTGTTCAGCGACAGCAAAATGGGGGACCACAGGCAGGACAGGGTCAGCCACAGGCTAATCGACAAAGGAGGTCATTTGGTACTTTCCAGGGTAGTTGTTACACTTGTAGAGAGTATGGTCACACTTCCAGGCAGTGTCCTATAGTCAGACAGAAACAGGGACAGGGATAGTATGTGCAGCAGGGGCAGAGGGCGCCAGTGCCTTTACCAGCTCCACAGGTTCCACGGATTCAGGGACAGACTTATTCGGCTTTACCAGCGCCACCGCAGCCTCAAGGATAGGCACCGCAGCAGCTACATTATGGCAGGGTGTATAACCCTATGCCACAGGATATGCAGGCACCTCACGCTGTTGAGGGTAAGTTTCCTATACATGGTTTTCATGGACGTGTTTTATTTGATACGGGTGTTACACACTCATTTGTAGCTAGGACTTTTGTTGCTTTGTCTGGGATGACGACTCGGGTATGTAGTAGACCTCAGAGTATTTCTTCACCGTTGGGCGATATAGCCATTCTTCATGAGAGTGATGGGCCTGTGGTAGATATTGGCAGACTCAAGTTTCTAGCCAATCTATTGGCCCTGGACATGCACACTTATGATGTGATACTTGGGATGGATTGGTTGTCTCACTACCATGCCGAAGTTAATTATTTTGACAGGTCTATTGTGTTTACTCTACCTGGTCAGGACATGTATGTTGTCGCCATGCCGCGTTCTAGCGGAGTCAATATCACCTATTTGCTTCATATGGAGGAGGGAACGGAGGGGGGGACTACTGTATTATTGGATAGCATACCGATTGTACAGGATTTCCTAGATGTATTTTAGGAGATTCCAGGGTTGCCACCTAGTCGCAAGATCGATTTTGTGATAGACTTAGCTCCAGGCACGGCGCCTATTGCTAGGGCACCTTATAGGATAGCACCAGTGGAGATGCGCGAGCTAAGGGATCAGATTCAGCAGCTACTTAGCCAGGGTTTCATTGACCGGAGTACTTCACCCTGGGGAACACTAGTATTATTTGTGAAAAAGAAGGATGGTTCGCTCCGCCTGTGTATAGATTACAGGGAGTTGAACAAGGTTGTAATAACCCGGATTTTCACGGATAATTTTTTTTCCCGTTGTCTTTTCCTTTTTGGGTTCGGTTTTTCATCACTTGATGTCGTCTCGAGTGCTCTGGAATAATTTCTGAGACTCTTTTCCTTGGATTGACAACTTCCTTTGGGGATTGTGTCATTTCCATATTTTATTTTTCCGAACACTATTCATATTTTGTCTTTTTCTCGTTTATCCTTTTTCCTTTCACAACCTCACTTTTTGTGCTCGGATTTGATTCCGGTTTTGCATGCATTCATGATGTTTGATTTCCATGATAGTGGTATTGTAATGACCCGGTCATTTGCCTTCCTTTCCTTTTTCTTGAAATTTTACGAATGAATTTTTTTTTTTGTTTAATTTTCTTTTCTGAGCTCTATTTCGTGTCGCTTAGTGTCATCTTAAGTGCTCGGAATTGGTTCTTGAGACTCTTTTCCGTGGATTGACAACTTCCTTTGAGGACCGAGTCATTTCTGCATTTTCACTTTTCGGACACTATGCATCTTTCGTCCTTTTCCCTATTTCGTCTTTTTCCCTATTATGTCTTTTCCCCATTTGTCACATTGTTGGTACAACCTCACTTCTCATGCTCGGAGTTGGTTTTTGACTTCACGTGCCTTCATCTTGAGTGGTTTCCACGAAATACGTATCTTTACTTTTACAAGAAAGTACTCTGGTTGCTCCCGGTGTCATAGGGGCATGGATGCAAAGTTCTTTGAAATTATTTTCTTTCCTTGGGGTGTTTCTCATAAATATCTTTTGAAGATATTTTATTTCAGGGGTTTTTAAGAAAATATTTTTGGAAGATATTTTCATTCGGGCCATCAGTGCAGTTTTCACTTTTTGGAGGGGCCATTGTGCAATTAATGAAAGATATTGCAAAATGTCTTGTTTTGAGTCTGGATCCTCATATGGGATTCATTTTCACATTTTGTCGAGTTGTGTACTCTTGGAATTTCCTCCTGGTCGATGTTTTCCAGTTTCAGGGTTTCTAGCCCCGATTTTTGCTAAACTTGTTTTGGGCATAACTTTCTGCTCGGGACTCAGTTTTTGAGGCTGTTTCTTCCGTTATTCATATTTTATCATTTTAAATCTTTTTCATTCACAAAGTTTTGCCATTTGAGTGCGTCTGCTCAAATTTTAATTTTTCAGACCCGGCAGGGCCCATTCGGGGCACTTTTTGAGTTTTCTATAAAAGGGGGGTGAGATATTTCATTTTTCATCTTCTCCCCTCTTCATGCATGACCTGGAGCTCCCATGGCAGCCCAAGGGGTGCTGCCATCTTCTCTCTCCTCTTTTGGTTCACTTTTCCTTGATGGAAAGTCTTCGGCCTTAACGTTTGTTGTTCTCCTCGCCGTGCTCTACCTTTCCCCCTTATTAGAATTCAGTTTTGACCATTTCTTGAGTTTGGTTTTGAGGTCAAGTTATGATTTTGATGGGGCTTTCATAGGGGTTATGTTCACGGCGTTGTCCTCGACAAAACCTAGTAGTTTCATCGGATTCGGAGCCGTTCCATTTTGATGGCTTTTGAGATTTTCATCTCAAATTGAGGTAGGGGATGTTTTAGGTTTAAATTCTTGTTATATAGCATGCTTGTGATGCTTATACTACTTGTTTGCATGATTAAATATAAAATCTAGAGATTTTATTATTTATTTTTCTTGTACGGGATCTAATTTTCCTGGTTGCTCATGACTTGGTTTAAACATGTAGCATGATTTTATATTGCCCCTTGATATGCTCATTGTCGTGTATTAAAATTGGAACATTTGAATAAGTATTAAAGATTTTATTTAATATTTATCTTAGGTGAAAGATTAATTCACATGGCCTTAACTAGCTTAAAATCAATATGTGATAGCATATTAAATTAGGCATTTGCATGCTCTCCAACATAGTTGAATTTGAAAGTAATTGGAGGTGTTTTGAAAATTAGTAATTATTAATTAATTTGATTAATTAATTTGCTCCGAGTGCACTATTCACTCCATTTAAATTCCGACTTGATATTCTTGACTTACATGCCATATAGCTTCACATATGTTTGATTTAGAATATTCGGTTAGGTTTTCAAACCTTTCATTTAATTAAATTCCTTGTTTAAGATTTAATCCTCATGGTGATATACAACTTGGAATTGAATTGTGTGGCATGCTAGAAAATTAAGCTTTGGTGTGGTTGTTCACATATATTAAATTGGGATTAATTACATGAGAATTGCAACTTTTAATTTATATTTAACTTTAGTGAAAGGTTAAGTCACATGGTCTTAAATTGAATGAAATAAACTTGTAATGTGATATTACATTAGTCCTTGGCATATTCTCTAAGATATGTTAAATTGATAGCATTTGGTTAAGTTTGAAAATTTAGAGATTTTAATTAAAAGAATTAATTAAAATCTATTTTGTGGTCCCATTAGCTTAATTAAGATTTTAACTTGATATTTGTATTGGCCATGACTTGTTTAGTAGTATATATATTAATTGTGGACCATTTGAAGTTGTTTTAGAACCTTGGTAATTTAAATAGCATGATTTAATTAGAGTTCTACTTTGTTGTTCCAATAACCTAATTGAGTTTTAGAATAGATATAGGTGATAACCATGCCATGTTCTTTAATATGTATTAATTTGAGGTTATTTGGAATTGAATTAGAATCTAGGGGATTTAATTATTTTTATTTAATTAAATTCTATCGAATTGAGCCATGGATTTAATTGTGTTCGAAAGTCGTTTCTATATCAAAATCATGGACTTGGACTTGTTGTATATTCATTTGGTTATGTTTTGAACATTGGATAACATAGTTGCTATGTTTGTATTCATGAGAATATGTTTTCCTTATTGAATATATTGTTGCCTTGTATAATGATTTGCACACTTCGTGTTTAACATCTTTCATGCATAGCGTGTAACGAATCGCACACTGAAGATTCGACTTTCATCATATCATATTAGTTGTGGATTTAGAGCATGTATTGTATAGGTTTCCAAATTTGGTTGTGCTTAGTAGATAGCTGA